GCTGATGTTCCGTGCCCTGGGCGGGGGCGCGGCTGCACTCCTGTTGGCCCACGGCACCCACTCCAGCGTGTCCATCTGGCCGCCAGCCGGCCCTGCGGTGTCAGAGCCCCACGGTCAGCAGCTTCTGGGTCTGGGGCCCCTGGAGGAAACCAGGGGTGCCGCACTGGCAACGCTGGTGAACCTACCCCCGCCCAGACCCAGCTCAGAGCCCAACCTTGGCAGGAGGTCAGGTGGGGGCTCCCAACCCTCTGGGCAGGGGCTCTGTCCACTGCACGACACTCAAATGACACAGGCCACCCTCATCTGAGCATCTCCAAGTGCTGGGCAAGCAACACCAGCTGCTCAGAATCACCCCATCCTGCCCCATGTGGACCCAAGGGGCTGGGGACAGACAGGCGGTGGCAGAGAGGTCACAGCACAGACTGTGGCTTTAGATGCCAGCGCTGCTTCTGACTTCCTGGCCACTGAGTGCCTCCGTGTCCCCTCCTGCCACACTGTTCAGAACTGGCCACAAGGCCCCCCGACTCCTTGAGGCCACATAGCAGCTGATCACCAAGGGGATTAGGGCTGGGCCTGGGGGACACACAGAAGGTCTCCAGTAGAGACAGGTGTTGGGGAACAGAGGCACCACAGCGGGGACAGGGGAGCTGTCACAGGCCAGGTGCCCACGAGGTGATCTGGATACGAAAAGCCAAGAGTCCGGCCTGGAGCCCTGAGGGCCACCCTGAGGTGAAGGACCGGGTGCAGTGGCTGGAAGACAGGGACACAGATTTGCAGGTCAAAGGATCCTCAGGGGACAGGAGCAGGACCTGTCAAGTCCAGGGCAGAGTGAGCAGGGTAGGAACCTGGCAGGTGTGGACATCTGGGATGCTGGATTGGCGTTAGACACCAGGAAACAGCGGCGCGTTCCCATAGCCGGCCACTAGGTGGCAGGCTAGAGAAGGGTCCGCAGCCCCAGGTGAGAGCCAGGCCGGAGCGCAACGTGATCCCTAAAAACAGGCTTCCGGGCTGAGGGACCGCACAGGGCGGCAGGTAGGCAGGCTGCTCAGTGCGTGAGAGCCCAAGCGACAGCACCTATGATTCCCACCTCCCAGGTATTCTTATCGGGAATATTTCCGCGGTACCGAGGATTGAACCTAGGGCTTTCGCATCTCCACCTTTTTTATACTTTCAGACAGGGTCTCATTAAGGGGCCAAGCCGTGACTGGGTTTGAACTTGCGATGCTCCTGCCTCAGGCTCTAGAATGCCGGTATCAGAGAGGTGTGTGCTTTTTTCTGGCTTTGGCAAATTTTAAAAAGTAAACTCGCTGTCTCAGTGACAAGTCAAGGCCTCGCGGCGGCACAGCCTGTGCAGTGCCACGGGAGCTCTGCACGTGTCACCAACACTGTCCCTGAGGCCAGCACTGGAGAAGGGGACGGGGTCATCCTCTCCACATCCCTCAGCCCTGAGATGCCAGCGTCAGCTCTGCGGGGAAGGAAGAGAGAGGGTGGCCAAATCGGGTCGGCTGACTTCACCCTTCCCAGAGCAGTGGGGCTTTCCCAGCTTTTCCTGTGGCTGGGTGCAGCCATGTGGCTCAGTTCTGTACAACTGCACATGAGCAGAGGGAGGATTGCCACTTTCAGGGTGCCCTTCTCCCTTGGCTAGAATGTAGATGTGATGGTGGGAGCAAGAGCAGCCACATTAGACCTTAAGACAGGAAATCTATATTGAGGATAATAAAGCAACGAGGAAGAAGCTACATGAGATTCCCTCTGTGCATGTTCTGGGCAACAGACAGAAGTCATCTTCTGTCTTCTTACGGTGGCTGTGTTTCAGGGGTTAAGCTTGAATCCCAAGGAATATAAAGACACTGCTTTGGAGTGGGAGGTCAGACAGAGATCTAAATAAGAAAGACCCAGCCATAGAGAAAAGGCTGGACAAAGAGCACGCTGGGGAGAGGATGGAGAAAGCAGAATAGGAGGAGGGAGACTATGAGGAGATGTGGTAACAGTGCCTCGAGAGGGGACAGTGGCTTGAACTGAGAGGGCAGCAGTGGGATGGAGCAGAGGGCCAGGCAGAAGGAAGACCCCACTTTCCCTAGGGAAACACCAGCTCCCACTGTCTGCCAGGCAGGCGTGGCTGGCCCCGCCTCTTCAAAACCAGAGATGTGCCTGTGAGCTAAGCTTGGCCAATCAGGAAACACCATTGCCCTGGCCAGTGAGACTCTGCCCTGAGACTCTGGCTTTCATCATCAGGAGATAGATTCTGTGTTCCTGCTGAGATGTCAGTCAGTCAGACACACACCACTTTAGTCCCCTAACTGGGGGCCCACCTGAGAGTAAGCCAACACACGGAGAACTCATTTGAGTCCCTGGATTCAGCCACACCTGACACCGATCCTACTCCTTGGCCTTTTCAGTTATAAAAATCCCATAAATTCCCATTTCTCTAAAAGCCTCCAGTTTCCCAGGCTATGGAGCCAGCAGGTGCAGGGAGCACTTCTGGCCCTGCTGCGTGCTTGCTGGGTGACCTTAGGTGAATCACTGCCCTGCTTGAGTGTTACGGAAATGATAACACCTACCTAGCAAGGTTGCTGTGAGGATCAAACAAAACCTGCTAAGTCAGTTGTCTATACCTGCAACACACACTCAGGATAATTGTTGTTTTTCTTACCAGGGGAGGGACTTGGGGAAAAGAGGAAAGGGTCCATTCCGGGGTCCAGACGCCAGGGGAGAAGAGGGAAGGGGGGCATTGGCTGCTCTCCTGGCCCTGTACCAAGTAGGACCAGCTAATAAGCAGGGAGTAGTGGCACACATCTATAATCCCAGCACTGGGGAGGCTGAGGCAGGAGGGTCACTTCAATTGTAGATAGACCACCTCTTTTGACCTGTAAATTGGATCTTTCTTTTTCTTTTTCTTTCTTTCTTTCTTTTTTTTTTTTTTTCTCTTTCCCTATGAAAGGGTCATTATCTTTGTTTGGGTGGGCCACCCTTCTCCTATAAACAAAAATTCAAGAGAAACTTCCTATAAATTCACAATTTCTATTGCTCCCCACCCTCTCAAGAGAAACGTGACAGTTCCAGCTCCAGAAAATACTGTAATGCACCTCTCTCAAGGACCAACACTTCCATTTCTATTTCTTTTAAATTTCTGCCTAATAAATCCCTTTATCCCTCTCTTAAAAATACAATGAGGGCTGGGGTTTAGCTCCATGGTTCGGCCGCCAGCCTCACAAGCACAAGGACCTGAGCTCAATCCCCAGTACCAAAAAAAATACAGTGAGCTTGGCATAGTGGTGCACACTGTAATTCCAGCATCCTGTAATCCTGGCACTCAGGGGGCTGAGGCAAGAAAATTGCTGAAAATTCAAGGCTAGCCTGAACCACACAGTGAGACCCTGTCTCAAAAAAATGAACAACGATGCTCACTTCCTAGGGGCAGGATCAGCATGAGGTGCTTTACAACCCGTGATACACTCGACACTGTCCAGCCTCTAAAACAGAGGGACTGACTTGTTCCCGGTACAGAGGAGGGACGGGAAGGCACACAAAGAGCGTGACCCAGCCCTCTCTGCCTGGAATTCTGTTAGAGAGTAGGTCCAGGGCCATCCATACCCCACTCTCCCTGCTGGTATTCTTGGCTTTTCCTTCTGTGATCTTCCGGCCTTGGGGACAGATGTCCCAGCAGTGACAGAGGAGAGGGATCCATAGCTCAGGAGAAAAGGGAAGGAAGCTGGGAGAGGAAGGAGTGGGGCCACACAGGAGGTGACATTTCCAGGGGAGGAGCTAGGGACAGGGTCCCTCGGGGCCACTGAAGGCCTCCTAAGTGATCTGAGGAGCTAGGAGGGAGGCTCTTCCCACGGCTGAAGGGGGCCTGTTGTGTGCACTAAAATTTCCGAGGGACCATTTTCTGCCCACCCGTGTGCTGCAGAGCCCCAAGTGAGGGCCATCCTCTCTCTGCACTCCGGCTTTCCCAAGTGTCGCCTGTGCAGCGGCAGGACTGACCCCAGAGCTACAGGGTGGGAAGAAATGAAGCCCTATAGTACCCCCAACTCTTCCCACCCAGGTCTGCAGAGCTTTCCAACCCAGTACCCAAACCACCGTCAGCCTCGGGGACGGGGAAGCTGGACACTGTCCTAGAGAGGCCACCCAGGCACCCTAGGCAGGAGCTGCCAGGAGGAAGGTGAGGCCCAGTGAGACAGGTCAGGCCCCACCAGCTGCTCTGCAACCCTTCCTACTGCTGACGTGGTGGAGCAAGCTATCCCCTGCTCGGGCTCCTCATCCAGGCCCAGCTCTTGTCACCACAGCTGCAGCCTCCTTCGTGACACCTTGGCCGGCCCACCTGTGTCGCCAGTGCGCCCTGGCGTGTCGTCCGTGTCTCCGGACCTGGCTTGTGACCCAGTTCCCTAGCATAGCGCTGGCAAAGTCTGAGCTCAGCGCAGGGGACTAGGGCACAGGTGGACAAGGGACAAGAGGACAGGGCACAAGTGGTCTCCGCTTGCACAGGGCTCCTCTGAGCAACAGCAGGACCCTGGGGACTCAAGGATCAGTGTTGGGCTCAGCCCCAGCCTTCGGACAGCGCTGGTCCAAGTGGGCGGGCATGGCCACCCCTGTCGCGCAGGGAACCCAGGCCCCTCCTGCACGTGCCCCGTCAAGGCCCGAACCACTGTCCCCACCTCATCCCTCCCTGTCCCCGACCCCTGGGGACACTCGTCACCCTGCCCGCTTCCCCGGGGCCCTGGGAAGCGTCCCCAAGGCTGTCCCCTACGGAAGAGGGAAGGGACACGCGTGGGAAAGGCGCGGGGAAGTGGTGGGGCGTCCCGCCGCGGCGGACCCAGGGCGAGGGCTGGCTCCTCCTTACCTGGGAGCCCGGTGCTCTCAGCCCGGCCCCCGGATGGACCCGGGCCCCGGGACGGCGAAGGCCGCAAGTCTCTGCCTCTGGCCGGGTCAGCTGAGGGGCCGGAGAGTGTCGCGCAAGAGACGCGGGGGCCGGCTGCGCGGAAACGAGAGGAGACAGTGTGGACGAGACGTGGTCAGAACGCAGGGCCCACGAGCCCCGAGGACACCTTATCGCTCTCCTTCCCGGCAGCGGCGACCCGGCAGGCTGCACCGTCTTTTCGGTTCAGCCAAAACTGGGAAAACAGCCACAGTCCTTGCATGCAGCACTCAGGCCCGTCCCCACAACCCACGGTAGCCTATAGAAATGGGTCTACGCGGAAAAGCGCGGAAGAAGCCAATCAGAGCCCCCAGAGGCGGGGCGGGCGGCTGACCTCTTAAAGAGATAGTGCGGCGACGCTGGCGGGACGCTGAGCCTCACGTTTCTCACCGGGAAAGTGGTCTGGGTCGCTGACTCGCTCGCGGAGGACGCCCC